TGTTGACAGCCATAAAACTGCGATAACAGAATTGTTCGGATTAACGGTAGCTGCAAAGTGATATGAATTCGATATCTATATCGGATTTGCATTCGACAAAGTTATGGCGCAATTTAGTGCAAAACAAAAGATAAATATACGAGCGGTAAACAGAAAGATATTGATTTTGTAGTGACGTATTGTTGTAACTGTGTGCGTTGAAAATATATATGAAACATTTTCATGAAAAAATAACAGTTAGTGACGGCTATAGATCGAAATTTACGCGGGATTTGCGAATATAAATTGAGAAGTAAAATGCGGACTGCGCAGTAATGTTCCTCGATATGACATGGAGATTAAGGAAACGCCAGTTACAATTAACGTTAACACGCAGATTAAACAAAGCGCTCGCTTTTGAAGGCAGGCCGTTACAGGATCCTTGGTGACTTAGTCGAAATAGTCTGGATTTGTGAAATATTACTGCGGGAATGTTACAACCTGACAATCGCAATATCGCGGACATAAATTTCTGCAAATTAAATTGGTCGCATGTCATCAATTTCTATGCAAATAGCACAACACATATGACACAGTTCTTTTTTTTTTTTTTAATGGTCGGACTTACCGGAGGTCGTTAAGTTTCGAATTACATCGATGAATCATGGCAAAGCGGCTTTCGTTTTTTATAAAATTAAATAATATTGCGTAACAGCGTCGTATAATGTGAGATAAATTTGAGATGATGCGATGTCGCCGTGATCCGCGTTCTAAATAGAGAAATCTTTAAGCTCACGAGGCGAGATAAAGAGTCACCACCGACAAACGGATTATTCCGCGGCGAAAGTATACCGGAAGGGACAATTACGAAATGCACTGAAAGCTTATCTTCGCTAGGAGAAACTAGCAACAGTAAAAATAATAGAGATAGACGAAGGAAATAGGACACGATTGTTATAACCGCTGGCAATCTGGCGATCTCGCCAAGTCGGAATAATAACAATCAAATTTGAAACACAAACGTTGTTATTCCGGGAAAAAACGTTATACGTTTACTTCGGTTTCGGGAAAATATACTATCAAAGAAAGTGGAACGCGGCGACAAGAAATTTTTAAAATCGAGTATAATTAAAATGGAAAATTGCGGAGAGCGATCTAAGAAACGATGAACAAATGATAGAATGGAAAAGTTTGAGAAACAAAAAAGAGCTCTTCTCCTCAGAAAATGAATTATTTCTTCGTAATTTCAAATATTTCTACGATAAAACACGTTCCCAGCAGATGTAATGACGTATCATCGTCATTGCCAGCATCGCTGCAAAAACCACTTTACGTGCAAAAAAGATTGAAACGCTATTTCGTTATTTATACCGTCGATGTGCTTATCGCGATTTAAAATCATCATTTGGAAACAACCTCTTCCCAATAAAATACAATAAATCAATATTCGAACGTTATATTTAGACAAATTGAATTTCCCTTCACTGACTGCTCTCGAATCATTTTCACGTTACAGATTCTCGCGTAAATAACCGCGATTCTCTTATAACCATGAATTCACGATATCCGTCGAAAGAATTTTTCTAGCGCTCTCAAATACGTATATTTATTGCGCGAGAAGTTTGCAGTCTCTGGGTAGCAAGCTTCTGAGGAGCGGACAGCAATATCGTTGCACACATCTTGAGTTCGATATAAGTCGGCCTTGACGTTAGGGGAGACAGCTTTCCCGAAGTCGAGTAGTAGACTCGAGCAATTGACGAGAGAATAGGGAGGCCGCGCGAGAAGGAGATAAAACAGGGTGGCGATCGGGGAAAGTGCAGGAGAGTCGAACACGAACAACAGAGAGAAAGAGAGAGAGAGAGGAAGATCGGTGACTACAAGAAGAGTCGATAAGAGAGTCGAGGAAGGGAGAGAGAAAGCTGGGTGAAAATAGAGGGTCGCTGAGAGAGAAAGGGCGGACGAAAAAAAAAAGGACCGATACAAGAGAAGACGAGATGGACGTATCGACGAACAGAAGAAAACGGGAGAGACAGAAGAAGGAGAGCAGTAAAGGCAAAGGAGTCAACGACTCTTGAACCCTTGGCATCGATTGCAAATATTTAAAGCACGAGGTCAGAGAGGGGCGACATGCGGGGTGAGATTCAATTTTGGAATACCCGACGACGTGGCATCGCGATTGTTCACATTTTAAAAGATAACAGTTGCTGGACATCGTCGATGTCGCGATTGACCATTTACATCGAACGCCTATACGTATAGAGGAGCAACGTTAACACGTTCGCGCGAAGTTTGTAATTCAATTTTCATGATGGTAACGCCTACGCTCTCTCTCTCTCTCTTCATTGTTATGTCTTGATCGATAAACGTGAACGCGTATCTTGATTCTCGCACAATTGCTGCTCGTCCCGATTGCTCGTGCAACCGCGCGCGGTAATTTTCCTGGAAAAACATTTCAACGACGAGCAGAATCGTTCAGCTTTATAACTACAACGGTCGGCATCAACCGCCGATGTAATTAGTCGCTCCGCTAATATCGCATCGATTTGTTCCCGGTTTGTTACGCGCTAATAGACACGAATCAAACGCTTAACTATCATAATAACGCCGAGCAGGGCTGTTGAATTCTAATTACTGTTTAATCGATCTCAAAAACATGCGATGTTTCGTACACCGTTATATTTTTAATATGCCAAAAGTAGCACAAAACATCTCAGCTCACCAGCAAAGCCGCTCATCTGCATACTACTTATCGCGACGTCACGATATCACGCATCGTATCATTACTTTGTTGCTCGTGTCCTAGAATTTGCATAAAACACTAAACGTGAATCGAAACACATTAAAGCCAACGCAACAAGCCTTCAGACACGCGCAGCTAAGCTTTGCCGTTACATTGATGAATCCGAAAATATACCAAGTATATCATGGCATGTATCTACATGCTTGTTTTTAATATTAAACATAATTATTGGCGAAGCCATAAACAGCTTTTCTAATAGTTTGACATCGTCTTTTAATCTCACGCATCATACGTAAAAAATTTTAGATACTATTTTAAAATTCACATTGGGGTGATTTCGATCATTGATCGAAGATGTGCTAAAATGACAATATCTGATAGGAAAAATATCCGACAAAATCATCAGAGCGACATATCAATATTGTTTTAAGACCGCCGAATATTATTTCGATAAATTTTGAATGCCATCTCGATTCAATGAAAATACAATAATAGAATACACTCTCCTTAATATAATATCTGGTTTTGAAAAATCAGATATTCTCGATTAATTTGCATATTATTGCTAACGTTAACTATACCTCTAGATTCCGTTTCTTTTCCACGAACGTTCAATCAAGTCGATC